GAATGGCTGTCGAACTTGAACGGGAAGGCTGGCGGTTACACGAAGATCTCGGAGCAGAAGTTCGAGAAGATGATGTACACGCTGGAGAAGTATTCTCATGATCGGAACGAGCTCTTGTCAATCGACGCGGCAAGTGAGGTTTGTCTACACGTTGCGTCGCTGAAGATCATTAAGCTGATCCATGGCTATTGGATTGAGAAGAGACGGAGGAACGGAATATCTTTGGTGAGATATTTCCAGGTATACTCCTCTCTTTTGTTTTCTACTGCTTTTTTGCACTAAACTTTCTCTCTGTTTATTTTCGCAGCCAGAGCGCTGGAAGCAGTACCGGGACTCCTCTAAAAAACAGAAGAGGCATTTATTTGCGTTTTGCCTGCCTCCTCGAGGACTTGAAATTGAGTCTCTACCAGAGACTGTCTCTTCGAGCTCGCCCGTTTTGGATGCTACTGATCAAGATGTTCCAAATCCAGTTGGTAAGATATAGCTTTTGCTCTGTGTAGTTTTAACCACCTTTCTTTTCTAGGCGTGGAGAATATCGAGTCTCCTTCACTTCCGGAGGTCTGTGATGAAGCATCGGTTCCATCCGATGAAAAAGAAGCTGAAAGTAGAGAGCCGGCGCAAACCGACCTCGGCTTTAAGAAGTTTGTGGGGACGAAAGAGGTTCGTCCTCAACCAGGAGATCTCGTCTGGAAGAAATACACTGGACGGGCCAATCCGGAGGAGATGAAGAAGCTCAAGGTGATACATCAGATGCGACAGTCGGGCATCAAGCACTTCACCAGACGAAAAAAAGTGCCGCAAATCTCGAGATCGAAGTCCTCCAAATCGTCCAAGTCGCCATGCAATGGGAGCCTTACGAACGAGGCTAGTTCTTCGCAGGAAGGGACGTCGGACTTACTGGCACTGGCAGAAGCGGCAACTCTTTCTCCGTATAGAAAAGAGAGGCCTGCTAGCAGCACCGGCGGAGAAGACACCGAGATGGAGTCCGAGATAGAGACTCCGGCTAAAGAAACTCTGGTTGAAAAAACCGTTGAGGCTTCAACGATTCAGGAGAGAGTGGATGAGATGATCAGGCAGAGGGCGCAACTAGAGAAACTGGCGTTGAAGAAACAGATGAGCAAGCTCAAGCAGCAGATGAAGATGGTGAACCAGCAGCAACAGCAGCAGCAGCCGCTGGTGGTGGACTCGAGCTTGCCGGAGCTGGAAGATTTTGGAACCTGGAGCGTAGAATTCCAGAAAGCGATCGAGAGGCTCGAGGAGCACAAGAGGAAGAAGCAGCAACTCCAACAGGTCCGGAGCAAGGACCAACAGCGGGTTGTGTCGGTGAGCGTCAAGCGCACCAATTCAAGGTAGGATTTCTACTTCATATCTGTGTTCTTTCTCCTGTTTCCTTTGTTCTCTGCACGGTGCATTAGAATTTTTCTGCTTGTATCATACTTGTAGATTCTCAGGAGCTATCTTTTCAAAGGTTTAGGCTCAGAACGTTCACGTTTTCGTTTTCCATCGCTTTGACTTCTCCTTGTTGGTTGCCTTTTTGTGTGGCTTCTTTTCATATTCTAACGATCCAAAATCTTTTTTTGGTGGGTGTGTGTGTAGATTTAGCACGCTGTTGCTGGTGGTAGCCAATTCAGCAGCCGAGGTTGAGAGCTCTTAACTTACAAAAAGAGAATGAGAAGAAATGTAGCGCAAACAATCCTAGTTTGTAAAACATACATAAAAGAAAAAGCCTTTTGTAATGCAAAAGGTGGTGCATTGGAATATACCAAGGGTTGGGCCTTTATATGTGTGCTTAAGGTTAGGGGAACATTACCTTTCGTTCTTTCGAAGATGAGCGGACAGTGGGATTTCACATTAGAAGTTGTGCTCAAGGCCGAGAAGACCAAGTTCAAGGAGGACTTTGCTGCGTCTCTTTTACCGCCACCTCTGGATCCAAGCAAGCCAACGCTGGTTTTGGACATGGACGACACCCTCGTCCACAGCCGACGGGGGAAGGCAACGCTCAAGCTCGTCAGCGGGAAAGTTGTGGCAGTGCAGCGCTACATGGTGGCTAAGCGGCCCGGCGTGGACAAGTTCCTGCGGGACATGGCAAAGCTCTACGAGATCGTGGTGTTTACCGCGTCGAAGCAGTATTATGCGGACACGATTCTGGACAAGCTCGACCCGGAGGGATTGATCACTCACCGCCTGTACCGGGAGTCGTGTGTGTCCTGCGATGGGGAAACGATGATCAAGGACTTGTCGCGCTTGGGTCGCGACTTGAAGCGGGTGGTGATTGTGGACGACAAGCCCCACTACTTTTCCCTGCAACCCAGGAATGGAATCCAGATCCCAGCTTTCAGGAATGTCAAAGGGAAGAAGTATTTGCAACTCAAGCATATTGGGTTCTTCCTTGAGAAGGTCGCTGGAGCGAAGGATTTGACACTGGAGCTTGAGAGGGCGAAAATAATTAAGAGATCTAGGAAGGTTTATGAGATCTTTCAAGAACTCTTCTGTATCAAGCCGTAAAACCTTGTCACTCTTTTGCAACAATGGTTAGAGTTAGACTGCAGTGGCGCTTAATTCTTTTTGGAAAATGGAAATCAAGTTCTCTCACAGCTATGTATTTCTGCCATCTTTGTGCAAGATACATCTATGATTTTAAAGAACAAACTTCATCGAAAACTACCCTTTTCTTAGACAACCAAAAGCGTGCGTTTCTTGATTAAGCCAAAAGCGTGCGTTTAGCTTAGATGCCTGGGTTTAGGGTTTGGCAGCTATGGAGGAGGACGATGGCGCTGCTCCCAGCACCAGCAGCGCCAAGAGGAAGAAGCGCTCTCGCCAAAAGGTAACGCTGGATGTGCTGGCGAGGGAGGAAGGCGCGCAGCTCCCGATTCTGGCGTATTTTCCCACGCCATTCGATCCCTGCGCGCAGCAGTCGACCAAGGACGATCAATCGGATCCGCCCGAGCTCTACGCGAGCACCAAGAACTCGCAAATGCAGCTGGTGGTCCGGCCGCCGGGGGGAAATGTGGATTTCGTTGGAGCGAACGCGAACAGTGAAGCCGGTGCCTGGAATCCGACCATGTTTGCTCTCGGGGTTTTCGATAAGGAGGAGGGAACTCTCAAGATCGTGCCAGTAGTCTCGAATAAGGTACCGCATTCTCGTCCAGGATCTCGCGAATGGTCGACCATCTTCATTCTTTTTTTGCTACTTTTCCTTCACAGGTTTTAAGAATGGAACCTAGAGTTCGTGGTGTCTCGTACATGATGGATTACGGCAACCAGGATGACACGGAGGTGGATAGAGAAATGAGGATCGATCGGAAGAACACGCTCGTGAATAGATTTGGAACGAAGAAGGCCAAGAACGCGGTAAGTCTTCTGTTGTTTCTATTGTTCTTTGTTTTTCTTTCTTACAACTTCTTTTCCAGCTGCAAAGAATGTCGAGAGCTGTGGTGAAAGAAACTGCGCTGGGAGGATCTGACGAGCAATTCAAAGGCTACTTACAGGACGCTGTGCAACAAGAGGGGCTTGTGATGACGAGAAAGGAGGTGGAAAAAGCAGCAAATGCCGCGATGGTGAGAAGAATACCGCCTTACAATCTCGACGCCAAGGCTCCCGACGATGCCTATCCTCTCAACAAGATCATAACAAAAGAGGAGTGGCAATCCATGGACTCGAGCGATCTCATGAAGGCGGCCAAGAAGGCGGCAGAGCTCGAGGCTCTACGCTCGCAAGAAAAATACTGGAACTTTATCCTCGATCGGATACACCGCCTTCGCGTCGACGTAAGCAAGTTTTTCTTTCGTTTTCTTTGGCTCGGCTGACACTTTTGTGCACAGGGAGATCGAGAAGGAAATGCCAAGCGGAGTTTCATCATGGTCTACCTGAATTACCTCCTCTCGATGTTCCACGCGACGAGGGGCCGCGTGGTGAGCGGCCGCAATCCATTCTTCGACGAGAAGGTGAACCTGGACATGCCGCAAGTGATCTACGACAAGCTCAGCTCGATGTTCCTGCAAGACGCGCCGCCGCAGACCGAGAAGCGAGGCTCCGGCGGCAGTGGCAAGCTCCTCCACAGGGACTACCTCCTGAGCTACATCCTGGTGCTGGCCATGAAACTGGACGGCTTCACGTCCGACGCGCAAGACATGGCTACGGAGCTCAAGATGACCGTGACGGACTTGCAGCCACACTACGCGCAGCTGGGGTGTAAGGTGGAGGCACCGCATTTTCGAGGCGCGGCAAAGGCAGTGAAACCAAAGGTGACGATGCCGCTGCCATTGAATCTGGATGAAGAGGACCCGGCGAACGCCAGGAGAGGCGGAGGAGGAGGTGGTCGGGGCCGAGGTAGAGGACGGTGAAATCCTGGAAGTGGACTCGTAATCTCCTGGTCGAACCACTTTTGGTTCGAAGATCTTTGTTACTTCCAATGCGGAACTCCAGGAACTTTGTTACTTCCAACTTGAAATCCAGGATTCCAACGTGAAAGTCCAGGAACTTTTTTACTTCCAACGTGAAAATCCAGGATTCCAACGTGAAAGTCCGGGAACTTGTTTCCTTTCAACGTGAAAATCCGGCATTTCTACAAGGTACCAGGTTTCGTCGAGATCGTCTCTACGTGGATAAGCGGTGTGATTTGTTGACATATCCGAATCTTAGCAATCGATTTCAATAAAAGGCGACACGTAATGTAGATGTCTTTCTTACTCCTCCTCCACCACCTTTCGGTTCTTAATGGAAAAGATGGCCCTTACCGATAAGAGGATGCGATAGCGCACGCCGCCTTTCTTGAGCGAGAAAATAAAAAATAAAAAACCAAAGCACCACCGGCACGGAACATTCAAGAAAAAACTATAGCTTTTTTTTAATCGCTAATCGCCCACAAGCTTGGGCCGGTCCAAATATTTTAAAACGGCCAACGTACGGCCCCGCCAGATATGCCGATCTGATTCCTTTCTTGTGGCCTCAAATATATAACAGCCTTCTCTCTCACACAATGTGGTGTGTGGTTTTTGATTTTGGGGGGAGAGAGGATGTGAGGGCGATTCTTCCAAGATTGGCGTGTTAGGGTTTCCATCAGGGGATCGATCGATCGGGCGCGCACAATGCGAGCGCAGCAGTGGATCGATCGACAGTGGCCGCGGCGGGGCCGCCGCGCAAGAGATTCTTCTCGCGGAATCTCTTTCCCTGTTGCGGCTTCGTCCTGCATTGTCCCTCCTTTAGTGCTCGCCCGGAAAGGGACCGAAATGGAACTACTTTAGGACTCGGGGAGGGGTATTTTTGGCGATCGATGATCATGGATCAGGTACGCATCCTTTTTCTCTTCTCTTGAAGTTTTTGCGATTTGATTCTCGGTGTATGCGCAGAAGCAGCACAAGGAGGGCGATCATCTTCTCATCCTCGAGGGCGACGGCATCACGTATGTGGCCGTCCCGGACAAAGGTAGGATCTGTTTTGTGGATCACCACACGGGGACTTGGGCGCCTCTCCCCGAGTCCGAGCGATGCTGCCTCCGAGAGAGCCAGCACGTCCACGCGCATGTCCATCACGGAGAGATCACCGAGGATGTCTTGCTCGAACAGGTTTGGAATTGCCGTTCGTGGACGATTTACAAGCTGCCTTTTTTTTTTTCCTTTGTTTGTTAGTGCTTGGAGGAGACTTGTTGGGCTCTCCCGATGTCCTGGGACGGGCTGAGTTCATCGCTCAAGGACGAGCACAAGCATAACGACGACTGTGGCCACAACCAAATCGCTCACGGTGATCACTATGACTTTCTAGTCCCCAAGCAGGATGGATCATACATGCTCATCCGAGATGCCGGGGACTCTCAGTACGAGCATGGCCGCCTGGTTAAGGTGGGGGAATCGCTGGGAAAGCTCAAGAGGCGGCCGAAGCAGCTGATGGATATCTTCAGCTACCAGGGCCCCGAAGGCAAAGGTTACGAGATTCTTGCCGAGGAAGACGATGCTGTGGTAGCTCCCAGGCTTGCCGAGGACATCCTAAACATTCCAGAGAATTTCCAGCAAGTTGCACGGACGGTTTTAAACGTCATGGGTATTTGCTGCCCCTCGGAGGTTCCTCTCGTCAGGAAGATCTTGGAACCTTTACCGGGTGTCAAGGAGGTGTCTGTGAACTACACGTCGCGGATTGTGACAGTTCTTCACGACAGGCTCTTGACTCCTGAAGGACGTCTAGGTAGAGCTTTAGCTTTCGTGCTTGCTCTGTTTTCTTCTCACACCCGTTTTTTCCTTTCCTTTATTGCCTTTTCTTCAGTCAAAGCACTCAACGAAGCTAGACTAGACGCAAGTTTACATCATCGTGGAGAGCTAAAGAGGTCTAGTAACTGGCCCAGTCCCTGGACCATTTGTTGCGGTATTCTACTGCTCGTATCCTTCTTCAAACATTTTTGGAACCCTTTGAAATGGTTCGCTATCGGAGCGGTGGCTGTTGGTATACCGCCGATTTTTATGCGGAGCATAGCGTCTCTAAGACGATGGATTCTAGACATCAACATTCTTATGCTCATAGCAGGTATGATGAGTTAAAATGGCTTTTCAGTGTCTGATGATAAAACTATATCAGTCGGCGGTGCTATTGCTCTAACTGACTACATTGAAGCTGGATCGATCGTATTTTTGTTTACTCTAGCTGAATGGCTAGAAGGACGATCGAGCGAGCAGGTAAATGTTATTGTTTTTCTTTTCGTTTGTCCTTACCCTTTATGACACTCGTCGTGGTGTCTCAGGCGCGTTCCGCATTGGCGTCCGGTCTGGATGTCCCTCGAAACGCCATCCTTGCCGAAACCGGGGCGATGGTCCCCGTTGACGAAGTTAAACTTGGATCATCAATTGCGGTCAAAGCTGGGGAGATGATTCCGGTAGACGGGATTATCATGTCAGGAGAGTGCTCTTTGGATGAAAGCAGCTTGACTGGTGAATCAAAGCCTGTCGAGAAGGCTTGCGGAAGCGAAGTTTGGGCTGGAACAGTGAATTTGGCTGGTACGCGCGCTTATTCTTCAAGTTCTCGTTCAAAACTAACTTCATCTCTGTCTACAGGCTACATCACCGTTCAAACCACTGCACTTGCTGAAGACTCGGCCGTCTCAAGAATGATCAAACTCGTGGAGGAAGCCCAAGCAAAACGATCTCACTTCGAGCAGCTAGTGGAAAAGTTTGCAAAATTCTACACTCCTGGTAAGTCCACAAATTTTCTGTGCGATTGCTAATGTAGCATTGCTATGCAGCTTTGGTAGCGACAGCTCTTGGTCTAGCACTCATTCCGTTGATAGCGCACACTCACCATGAGAAACACTGGCTGTACTTAGCTCTCATTTTGCTGGTTGTGGCTTGCCCGTGTGCTTTAGTCCTTTCGACGCCCGTCGCAGTAGCCTGTGGAATACAACACGCAGCAAGACTTGGAGTCGTGATCAAGGGTGGAAGCTACCTTGAAATCCTTGCCAAGATCAAGTGCTTGGCAATGGATAAGACAGGAACCTTGACAGAGGGACACTTCCGCGTTTCCGAAGTTGTACCTGTTGGTGAAACCGAAGACCTGCAACAAATTTTGTATTGGTAAGTTTGACTTTTCTGCTGTGTGTCGCTGATAAATATTTTTTGTTGCGCAGGTTAACGAGTGTTGAAAGTAGATCGAGCCATCCAATGGCCGCTGCACTCGTCACATACGCTAGCTTACAAGATGTTGTTCCATCGAAATCCGTTACAGACTTTCAGATTATTGAAGGCGAAGGTGTTTCCGCCGTTGTGGATGGGCACTTGGTAGAGATTGGTAACGCGCGATTAGCATCTCGCCTTGGCTGGAGCAGTACAGGTTTCCATCGGCTCCTCCTTCAGTGGACTTGTAATCTAACTGTTCGTATTTCTGCAGCCATTACGAAGCTAAAGAATCAAACAGGAACCGTCGGCTGGCTTGGAAAGGATCACCAGCTCCTGGCAGTTTTTAGCCTCGAGGATCATGTACGGGAGGAAGCGGCAGAAGCAGTGTCGAGTCTAAAGGTTGGGCTTGGAGCGTTCTTCCCGTGTTCCTTACAAGCTTTATTTTGTTTATGGCAGCGTATGAAGGTCCAGATCCATATGCTAACTGGGGATAACCATGAGACGGCCCAGAGTGTCCAGAGAAAAGTAAGCTTCTATTTCCATCTTCGAAGTGTCACTAAATTATCTCCATTGCAGTTGGGAGGAGTTACTGTACACGCCGGTCTTCTCCCCCAGGACAAAGTCAGAATCATCCAAGAGCTGAAAGAAAACCACGGTGTGACGGGAATGATAGGCGACGGGATAAACGACGCCCCGGCTTTAGCAGCGGCGGACGTAGGATTCGCCATGGGTCTAGCCGGATCAGCAGTGGCAATGGAGACATCGGACGTTTTCCTCATGACCGACGATCTCCGGAAGCTGAGCATGGTGGCGAGTCTGGGAAGGAGAGTCCGCACCAAAGTTATACAGAACGTTGTCATCTCGGTGGGTCTCAAAGTCGCGATGCTGGCACTCTCGTTCGCTGGCTATGGCTACCTGTGGATGGCGGTCCTGGTAGACGTCGGGGCGTGCTTGCTGGTGATCTCAAACAGCACGCTTTTACTCCGAGGAACAGGGAAGAAGAGATCATCGGGCCACCACCATCACCACGGAAAGAATTGCAAGGATCACGACCACGATCACGACGGTGGTAAACAGTGCTCCAAGGACGACGATCACGCCGGAAGAACACAGTGCTCTGATCACGAGCATGGCGCTGAGAAGCACCAGCACCATCGCCATCCCAGCCACGACCATGGTCACAACCATAGTCACGAACATAGCCACCACAGTCACGACCATCACCACCACCAGGATCAAGGCCACTCACACTGCAAGAAGAAGCACGCTTGTGGCAAAGGCCACTCACACGCTCACTGCTAACGTTTGACAGAATCTAATTTAAACGCTGAGAATATGCTTGGTGATTGTTATTGGCCTAGGCTCTGTAACACGTGGCAGGCGGTAAAAATAAAACCCCCGCCATTGTGGTTTTAGGTTGGAGGAGGGTTGTGGGTGGATATGCTAGATCGCGGCGATGGCGAGGGCGGCAGCGTTCTCGCGGAGGATTCTTGATTGTTTTGAGTGATCTGGGGACTCGCATTTTGATTCTGGAGGCCATGGAAGGCGAGGACACGACTTGCCGATCGCTGCTGCGGGAGCTCCAGGTAACCTCGCGGAATATTGCCTCTGGAGTTTCTCACGATCGCGGTGGATCGGCCGCGCGCAGACCATCTGGGAGGAGATGGGGGAGAGCGACGAGGAGAGGGACAGAATGCTGCTCCAGCTGGAGCAAGAATGCCTGGATGTGTACCGGCGAAAGGTGGATCAAGCGAATTGCGCGAGGGCTCGGCTGCACCAGCTGCTGGCGGATTCCGAGTCGGAGCTCGCGTCGCTCCTGTCACTCCTGGGTGATCGCCCTTGCATGGTACGCGTTGTTTGATCCATCTCAGCTTTTCTAATGCCCGTTGTTCTTCCTTTCAGTTAGAGAAGAGGTCGGGCACTACTCTGCGAGAGCAGCTCTTGTCCGTCTCACCTCAGTTAGAATGCTTACGTCTGAGGAAAGAGGAGCGGCTGAAGCAATTTGAGGACGTCCAATGCCAGATACAAAGGCTCTCTCGGGAGATATCGCCGGGGACATTGCAAGAGGCCGAGAATGGAGCTCTTTGTTGGAAAGATTTATCGCTGAGAAAGCTGCATGAGTACCATTGCCAGCTTCAAGAGCTTCAGGATGAAAAGGTTGGTTTGTATTGGCACGGTTGGCATTCTTTTTTCTTACAAGCGGCTTTTCCAGAGTAGCCGGCTTCACAAAGTCTCAGAGCTTCTCGAGGTTCTGCAGGGATATTGCGTCCTTTTGGGGATAGACTACACCGAGGCTGTCAAGGAAGTGCATCCGAGCCTTTGTGATCCAGGCCAGAGCAGAAGTATTAGCGATGAGACGCTAGAGAAATTAGGCAAGGCGATCGAGGACATGGAGAACGAGAAAAGTGAAAGACTGCAAAAGGTGATAACGGTTTACCTTTTGACAATGACGCGTTAGTTTCATTGCAGATTCACAATCTTGTTGCTCTCTTACGCGAGCTGTGGAATCTAATGGATACACCTTTCGAAGAAAGGCAACCATTTCGAAATATCATCCGCAATCTTGCGGCACCAGAGCACGATCTAGCGGAGCCTACTTCTCTTACTTTGAAAACCATCGCACAGGTTCTTTCTCATGCGTTTTGTTCTTTCTGATACTTCGCTTGTACAGGCCGAAAAGGAGGTGGTTAGGCTAAATCAGTTGAAAGTAAGCAGAATGAAGGAACTTGTGCTGAAGAAGCAGGGAGAGTTAGAAGAAACTTGCAACATGGCTCACCTGGACTGTGATCCAAATCTAACTCAAGAAAAAGTGGCAAGGTTACTGGAGTCAGGTATAAATTTATTCTGTTTACATTTCTTGGCTGATGTGTCGTGTGCACAGGGATAGTGGACTTGTCGGAGCTACTTGCTACAATCGAAAGTAGTATCGCGGAGGCGAAGGAAGAATCACTCGGTAGACAAGATATAATGGAAAGAATGGAACGATGGATTAGTGCATGTGAAGAAGAAAGTTGGCTTGAAGAATACAATAAGGTATGAGCGTTACGCTATTTCACTTATTCATTTTCGATTGTAGGATGAAAGCCGCTTCAATGCAACCAGAGGAGCACATTTGAGTCTAAAACGTGCAGAAAGAGCTCGTGTCATCGTGGCCAAACTCCCCAGTGCGTTTGAATTCTTCGTTTGCTATTTCCTTTTCTCAGTTTTCACAACCCGTTTGCAGATCTTCTTGAATCATTGAAGTCCAAAACGCGGTCTTGGGAGGACGAAAGAGGCAGGCCCTTCTTATATAACGGGGTACGTAAGTGATTTTCGTAGACGCTTCTGAAAGTGCTTTGCAGATTTCTCTACTGGCAATTCTAGAAGAATATAGCTTGCTACGACGAGAGAAAGAAGAAGAAAAGCGCCGACTGAGGGTAACTCTGCAGTTTAGTGCCTGTTAAGACGTTAACTGGCTAAATGCAGGAGGAGAAGAGAATGCAGGAGCAACTGCAAACTGAGCAGGAACTGCTCTACGGCACAAAGCCGTCCAAAAAGGGACAGGTGGGACTTCGCGTGAGTGGAAACAATGCAAACCGACGACTTTCGATAGTCCCTGAGCCCTTACCCGCACCTAAGGCTAGCAATCAGGGTCCTCAAAAGGGTAGCCGGGTGAAACGCTACTCTCCGATGATGAATTACGTTGCCTTGCCTAAGGATCCCGAAGCTTCTTCAATTGGATCAGCTCCGGATTCTCCTGTTGCAGCATGAAGGTCAGGTTTTTGTTAGAATGGACCCTTGCGTGATGTTTTGCCTGTGGTGGCCACAGCGGTTTTGAAAATTAGGACGATAAGCGGGGTTTATACTGTAAGTAGAGTTTGTTTCTTTGCTATCAAGGGTAATCGCGTATCCTTTCTCCAGTGCTCCGTGTTTTGTGTATTGGGAAAGCGTAGGAGCGTGTGCTATTTGTTCAAAGCTTTGATTGGTGTAAAGCATCGAACTAATTGTTTCGTGTTAAGTTACATTCAAGGTACATACAAGTCTTGGTTTGCTTACACTTGGAACTTTAAATTCTTTGCGGAGCTTCTGCTGTCGAGAATTGACGCAGACAAGTTTCACACAGGTGATGCTCTCAAATGATTCAAAGGCTCGCAAGCTTGACATCAGCGTTTGACAAACCCTTTCACCTTCCAAAGCAAAAATCCTCCTCAGAGTTTAACCTCCAAGGATTTTTCAAAATTCCCAGGATTAAACCTTCTAATCAAAATTTTCTCAAGTAAAAATCCTTTTATTAATAAAAACATAAGGTTAAACAAGCTTACAACTGTGAGAAAATTTGTCGATAGTGTGCACTTTTGGTCCACAACTTCATCAAAGTTAAACTTCTGAATTTCAAGACCTTCAACTGAAATCCTTACGAGAGGATCAATTGTTTCAATACTCATTTGATTTCTGTATTTGTTCTTGATCAAGTTTATTCTGCTAAAACCTCACTCGCAACTTGCAATGCTAACACACTGCACCATCCCAATTTCACCAACTCGAAGCAAGTTTGGAAAGCTCTCTGCCCAACCTGTTTGACTATGTATGATGCTCCACATATCAATAAAATTTCGTCCTTTCCATTCCTTTGAGGCAAGTAGCTTCCAAGTCAAATACTCTTCCATGAAGGCTGAAGGATCCACAATGCCTTTAACAAGAACTCCATCCACCTCTAAATGCCTTCCATAAAATTTTGCAAGCTCCCTTGCCTCTGTAATCCCAAATTATTTGTTTTCCTTGACAAGGATTGGCAAATTAACCGGAGCTAGAACCTGCATCTTGGAGAGTATCCCTGTGTCTTGTAGTCGTTGTCTAATATTTGCAATGAGAGCAAAAGTAAAGGAGATTTGAAACTGCATAGCTTCTTGAAGATCACTTCCATCTTCTGATCGGATCAATTGCATAGTTTTGTAAGCATCTCCTTTAACTGAAACTCTCAAAGCATGGAGGAAGCCATCCTTACTACCACCATCAGGGATGCATGGATATGATTTGTTATCCATGGGATTACCATTCAAATCAATCTCATCACTAATGTAATATTTGTTCAGCTTCACAATAGTCTCTCGGCACAAGGGTCCAACCATGGTGATGTCGATTAGCTTCTCTTGGAATTTCTGATTGAGACTACTCATCACCTGTAAAATATCAGCCAAAAAATGCAAGACATACTTGTTCTTGAGAGTTCTCAGCTTGTTGTAAAGTTGCAGCTTGCCACTTCGTTTGAAAAGCTCAGCTATTGGCTCCAAACATTTGCAAAGCTTAGGAAAAGCCCCTCCACGACTTAGCCATCTCGTATCCTGTATGCACTACAGCTTAAGCTTGGCATGATCGTGTTCCATCTCAATTTCCATCAACTGAGCCAACCTTTTCAAGCTTTTGCTGAAGTAAGCTGCTACCTTATTCACTAGTTTATCAATCGTCATGCATTGTGTAGCACATTCTCCATCCCCATAAGCATCTTCCACACATAAATTGGCTCAATGTGCCATACAATGAACACTACTTAAGAAGGGATTAATCTCCTTTAGCCTAGTTGCTACCCCTGTCCTGCTACCAGCCATAACATTACATCCATCTGAACCAAAACCTATGAACCGCTGCATATCTAAGTTCCACTGCTTAAGCATATCACTAATGCAGTTAAAGATACTTGCTGCACCACTATCACCAATGTTGACAATCCCCAAGTAGCTTGTCTTCACACAACCACATTCGATGTAAGTCACATAAAAAATAGTGCTGAAAATAGATCAAATCGTAAGAAAACTAATTCATCCACCATCAATCCAAAATAAAGACTTTCCCTGACTTTTTGTAAAATATTTTTAACCATAACCTGAAGTGAAACATGAACCATATTAGAATCAATTAACATGGTCTCATAAACATACCTTGTTAATAGAAGTTATCAGTCGTGAACAACCTTTGTCACTATCGTAATATCTTGGAATGTTCATCCCATTAAGTCGATGAAGTTCAATCAACTCTAGAAAACGAGTGAATGGAGCAAATCCTTTTGCAATATAATAAGCAGAACGAAATAACACAAACACCCCTTGTTCAGTATGGTGTAGATGCTTAATTGTAACTTTTAAAATTGATTGTTACTTCCCACGACGCACGTCCTTAGCAAATACAGACTCCTTGTGATCTTCAGAGTTAGCATGACTGCGTAAGGCACTTTTTCGAAAATTACTACTACCTTGTTTGCCAAAAATATTCTTAGTTCGTGGATTTCCCTTGCAAATCCTGCAAAACATTGTGCCTTCAGTCACATCAAATTCTAACTAACAGTAGCTTTGCTTCTAATGCTCCTTAAAATGCCCTGATGCTGCATCACCATCTAGTTCCTCAATATCATTCTCAATCTCTGTTTGCACAACAACCTTCCAAAAATTTAGAGTTAATTGCCTCCCAAAAGCAAGATCAGTAGCTAAAGGACACTTCTTTTTACCTGGAGGTAATTTTAGCATTCTACCATGTTTAATTAAGTAGCACGCAGTGTCTCACCCGAGTGGGCTCTCGCTCCGGAAAATGACCTACCTACTCCGCTGACAGGTGGTATGTAGTATATTTTACTAACATCTTTAATACTAAGTTAAATGTACTTATATTTCAATTAATTAATATGGGTTAACAAAAAAATCTTTTTCTTATTAAAATACCCAAGATAAAATCCTTTTGATATCAAATAACCAAAGTTAAATCCTTATACATGATTTTTTTCCCGGGCCGTAGATCCTTCATGGTTTGATCTGCCCAAGAGTTTTAAAAAAGTTCCAGGTTTTTATATGGAGGCGTTTGTCGACCACTGCTTGACATGCTATGTACCGAAACAACGCTTTTAAAAGGACTCCATACCTTGGCAGCGGGCAAGGACCAAAGCATGGCCGGGGCTAGCTTCTTCCTGTCCTTCTCGTCTCTTTTCTCTGCCTTCTCAGGTAAGCACATCTTTTGAGCTCGCAGCTCTCTTCACTAACAGCTGATCTGCAGGAATGCTTCACCAAAAGCGGCTACGCGCTCTTCATCCCAGGCTACAACATCTTCCCTGTTGCAGGCTGCAAGAAAGACATCGGGCCACCTTACAAAGACGGCTGCAGCCTCGCATTCTCCAGATCCACACTCGCAGCACGTTGCAAAGTACCGGGGAGTGGAGTTCTTCGTGGACAACGTGACCATCGCGCATCTGACCCTGGATGATCTCCAGTGCACGGTGAGCTTCCAAGGTCCCATCGACCTGGACCGGGGCTATGGAGACTACGCTTGCCGGGGGAACTGCATCCTTGTTTAGAACCTCTGGAAGTGTCCAGGACAAGGACATTTGCTCCAGCGGGTCCAAGAGACTCTGGTACCTGACTGCCAACCTGGAGACCACGTGACGACGTAAGAACTGTAGCATTTTAGCTGAAGCGGACAGGATTTTTTCATCATGGAGGTGAGCGGCTTGGTGAGCCCGCTGTGTGTCTTGGGTCTGGACGCTGCCAAGAAGGTATGGGACTGCAATGCCAACATTGAAAGGCTGGAGAATGCCATGGCACCCCACATCCAGGCCAAGATCAAAGCTTTCAGTGAGCACAAGGAGCGAAATGGACCTGGCTTTATGTTCTCTGAAGCGGCCGAGGAATGCTTGGAGCGTGTCAGGACATGGAATGGCAGGGCGCAAGAACTCTTAGGGTCACGCAACAACAGGATCTGGAGCCCCGTTAGACGGTATGTTGTGCAGCATTTTTGTGCAAGAAGGCTGAATTTATTTCTCCCTATAGGTACAAGCGGAGTGGCAAGATCATGGAGTGCATAAGCTCCTACCAGGATCTCCTGTCGCAGATCGAAAGTCACGGGCACGAGCTGAATGTGGACATTGCGAAGCTGGCAAAGAGGGCGACCAGCATCCAGGCCATGCTTAATAAGTTTCATACTCACAAGCACCGGAATCCAGAGTTCCGCTACTCTGATGGAGCCGAGGAGTGTCTTGATCTTGTCACAAAATGGAACGACAAGGCGCAAGCACTGCTGGGATCACAGTAAGCATATACACTTGAGAGCTTTAACAGTACAGCTAAATGATCTATGGATGTTTCACAGGGAGAAGCGTTATGGCGAGATCTCGGAGCTCATTCACAGCTACGAGGGCGATCTCCTTCCGATAACTGAAAGGTACGAGCGAGAAGAGTTGAGAGTGATACAGCCGAGCACTAGCTTCGCCGTACGGAGTTTCCCGCAAGACAGAGGCCCTGCAAAAAAATATGTACGGCGTGTTGTTCCTGATGCCATGTTTGGGGACCATGAACTACTGGATGAGGTAGTGAATGCCCTCTTGGATCCTGAAGCCCGTAGCAAATGGGTTGGACTGTTGGGAATGGGAGGGTGTGGAAAGACCACCCTCGCAAGCTGCGCGCACAATGACCCGAGGGTGCGCCAGCATTTCCATGACAACATTGTGTGGATCACTGTGAAGAAAGATGCTTCGGAGGACGATCTCAAGGCCCAGCTCCTCAACGCTCTTGAATGGGGTGAATTGAAAGAGAGGGCCAAACGAAGCCTTGACGACATGCAGCACTTGGCACGCGATGTTGCTGGTGGTAGCCGTGTCTTGCTGGTACTGGATGATGTGTGGGACTGGAGCTGGGCAAAGGAACTGGATTTTATAGCACGGCCATCCTCTGGCCGGATCCTGGTAACAACCAGAAAGGAAGGCATTTTGCGCAGCCTGGATGCAAAGGCATTTCCTGTGCATCAGCTATCAATGGACGAAAGCAAAAAGATGTTTTGGAAGTTTGCCTTCGGTGTGCATGATCCACAACCCAGTGACCCTGATGTTGTGGGACTTGCCAAGAAAATAGCTCGAAAATGTGAGGGACTTCCTCTCGCTCTGGAAGTGATTGGCAGTGCCATGGCTGTCCACAGAAGTGAAGGGCCACATGTGTGGGAAGAACGATATAAAAGGTTGCACTTGTCCAATGATCCAGACGTTGAGAAGCAGATGTTCAAGCGCTTGAAGTTCAGCTATGACGAGCTGGGAAACTATGAGGGTGAAAAGCTGCAAGAGTGCTTTCTCTATGTGGCCGCATTCCCAGAAGATAGGTGGATTGGGTTTACTGAGTTGAGGAACTGTTGGATGGAGGTTGGGTCAGAACTCTCACCCACAGCGATTGTCAATGAACTGGAACGGAGATGCCTGGTGAAGATATCTAAGTCTTGGAGGGATGAAGAAGCTCCTGGTTATATAACAGTACACGATATGCTACGCAAACTGTGCATAAGAATCTTAAAAGGGAAGTACAGCCCACAGCAAGAGCACGAGAAGGGATGCCTGTTTGGATATGAGTGGACAAGTGGCATTCAGGATGCAACATTTGCTAAAGTCTCACTCATCTCAAAGAATGTTGGCAGCTTTCTATCCGATAATCATGTGCGAGATGCCTTGCTTATTGCTCACTCTATAGGACTTTCTAATGTGGATGACAGTCTTATCGATCACATACAAGGTGTCAAGGTATTGAGCTTGCTGGAATGCTATATGATCCATTTTATTCCAGAGAGCATATCCAAGCTGAAAAACCTTCAAGTGCTTGACATTCGACGAACAAAAGTGAGTCAACTACCAGATGCGCTTTTCAGCCTGACATCACTGAAATATCTAAAGTGTACTGAATATCTTGAGTGTAACATTGCATTACTGCCCCAGCTCTCCAACTTGGAAGAGCTGGTGCTGAAGGTTGATTCAAAAGAGGACTCATCAGTTGTGGATTTCACTGGAATTTCGCGTAAACTAAGAATTCTAAAGCTAAGAATAAGACAGGGTACAATGAAGGTGCCAGAAAGCATGGGGAAACTGGAGCACATTGAAACATTGGTTTTACATGCAAAGACCATCGACTTTACCAGTGTCGTTGGGCTATGGGAACTTGTCAACCTAAGAACATGTGAAATTTCTGTGTTATCCGTTAGTAGAGCTCCCTGGAAGCGAATGTTTAAGAAATCAATCAGGCTTCGACGTTTATCCATCACTCGGGTAGAAGACAGTGAAAATAATGGTGAAAGCGTTGAATGGTTGCAACTACGATATTTACGCATCCGTGATATTATAAACCTATCTTTGTTGCCCCATCGCCTAGAAACACTTGACATTGACTGCGGTGGTATCCACTTGTTCAACCTGGATGGATCATTCCCACATCTTGGAGATCTGCGTCTTACGAATCTACACATTGCACAGTCAGAATTCAAGGATGATTTGGCTGCCAGTCTTACAAATCTGAATAAGTTGGAGTTTGAGCTAGCTCCTGATATTGAATGGGAGCACTTGCCTCTCTTTGTGGCACAGCTCCCCAATCGCCTCGAGTATCTGACATTAAAGGGTTGCATAAAGAGACTGTTGTTGCCAACCGAGAGTTCATCACTTCAGGTTAAAGATATTTTAGTATCGAGCAAGAAGATGCAAAATGATTTCTTTGAGCCATCAGATCAAATGGCTGATATAGATACCGTGTGGTTGAGGTGTCATGAGAGTATCGTTCCATCGTCCATTGCATCACTGCCAGGTTTGAAACGTCTTAACATTTTACATAACGATGCACTGTGGTCCCACAATCACAGCGAGGCCGCATTTCCCAGGCTGGAATCGCTATCCTGCCCGAAAGACATGAAATTTCCACCTTGGCTTGAGGACCGCCCCAAACTCGAGATACGTAAGTTTTAATTTCCAAAGCGTTTTGGTATTCGAACGTCTGTTGTTTGACATATTTCTCCTCTAAATCAATATATACAAAACTGCGACCGCACCGCTACTCTTCCACCAGGAGAGCTTCGCCTCTCACGTCCCTGGCAACCTCTAGCACCTCGGGTTTGCTCCTTGTCAATTCCAATTCTTGTTCAGCTGCTACCTCGGTTTTGCGCACAGCAGCACCACCTTTGCCGGCTCTTATCCTCGCCAGGAAACCTCTCACGAGAGCCTGCATTTTCGTTGCAGCGCCCTGGACGTACACGGCCTGGATCCGCTTCGCACGCTCGATGCGCAGAGTGAGAGGCAACCCCTGCGTTAATCCGAGCCAAACGTTAGTATCAAAAGCTTGGAATAGCAGCTACTTACAGTTGGTCCGATCTTATACAGCGTCAGCGTTTCCAGCAGCTCCTTGAAAGGGACTCCTTTGTTTGGAACTCGAAAACTCATCACCTCGTACTCTATTCTCATGTCAGAACAAAGAAAAAAACGAGTGAGAGACAAAGAGCGATTGAGAGGAACACGCCAAACCATTGGGTCGTGTATTTGTAGTGCCGGCCCAACGGATCCCCGAGGGCATTTACAAATCGTCGGAGTTTGTGCATGCCAATGTATCCCGTAGCACTGGACGATTGTAAAGTTAGTTCCACAAGGACTTGAACGTAAGTAAGTGGCTTACTTGGGATCGAATGGTTCTTGGCTCCACAAGTTTCGATATGCTAACAGGTGCTCCGGCATGACTAGAGTTCTCGTTCACAAGGCCGAAACAGCATCCAGTATGACAGCCACAAACAAGTTCATGAATATGTGACTCCCGACCAAGACCAAGAAGGCGAAGATACTTCGGCCCTCTGGATAGCCACAATCATCGCCGAGTAGTGTTTTACCGTTGGTGCAGGCGGGTGCATCAATTGTGGTATCCATCATAACACAAGACCAGTTATCAAGATTTGTATCCTGTAAAAGAAAAGCAAAACTGAAAGTGATAGAAAAGCCAAGCCTTTACCTGAAACACCGGGATGAAAGCATTGACGAAAGTGCGAAAGTTGACAGACGGGCCAATGCAGGTCCCTTCCTTCATTGCACTGAAGAGTTGGAACGCCATCCCCGCGAACATATACATGAAAATTGCGAGAAGAGCGAGTATCTCAGCTACAGTTGGCAAACAGATGAACATTGTTCGCATAATAACCTGTGCTCTCGCTACGTGAGGAATGATGCAGAAAACTTGAGCAATGTAGGCAGTGCGGCCGACATAGCCCTTCACCGTTCCCTTCTTTCCCATGAGACCAATGGCGGCCATTATGGAGAGTCCAAACTCCATCTGCCGTGCAACCTCGTTCTTATAGACCTTCCACTGGAGAAAGGAAAAACCAGGTGGTCAAACAAAAAACAATCGAGAAAAAGATGAATGAGGTACGTCGTCACCAAGGAACTTCATCACGGATAAGCAGGAAATATGTTGTAATCGCACAGTGAGCCATCTGACGCCGGTCCGAAACAACTGCCGACTGCCCAGCATAGTTAGTCGCAAGTAGCCCGGGGTAGCCAAGGAGTGCGAGGATCATGCACTTTTGATATGTCGGATTACGAATCAAGTAGAAGCACATCCCCCGGATGGGATTGCTTGGTCGTCGAGCCAGCGGAATAGCATAAGTTTTCTGGATGATACGGTTCATGTCCCTCCGCAGCTTCTGCCTCTCTGTGAGAAGAACTGCTCCAGAATTTTTTCCAAACTCGTTGATAAACACCCCGATGAAAACTCTGACGATATAAAATCCCCCGATACAGCAGAATGCCACGAAAAACAAGGCGTTGACAGGACTCGCGTTCCGAACAGGCTGGTGGTCTTCCCTAGTGATGTCCATGACAGGATACATGAAGTGCATCAGCCAGTTCTCGAAAGTGGAGCAGACGAACATACTGAGCAGGGCATTCTGAATGTTGTCGAAGTGGAAAACGTTATTAACCCAGGCTCGTGGAGCAAGGATGCCGATGTCATTAACATAGAGGCCGGTACAATATGCTCGGTGCGTGATTGTCGGGTCATTGCATTTCCAGAGAAGTTCCCCGAAACTGCTGCAGCCCGATGGTTCCAAATATCAGGAGAATTGAAAATGTGAAGAGAATAACCGACACAATTGCTGGAATAGTCCGAAAAAGATTTGATAATAATGACCTCAGTCCTGTAAACCGAACCACGAAACGAAATGGCCAAAGAGAAGTAAACGCACCGACGGTTGGTATGGAAGTTTCACCCTCAGCGTTATACTTCAGAAGAATAAGCGCATTGGTGACGAGAATAAACAAGTCCAAGATGTTGTACCAGTCACTCAGGTATGCGTCTGGCGCAAAAATAAGTCCCTGTGCAACGATCTTCATCAAACAGTCTAGCAAAAAGACCTGCTTCAAAACAATGTACAATGTCAGGCAAAATAAGATAAGCATGTGCTTACCACAAAGTTGATCTTATGCAGACTACAGATGAAATCGGGGACAATTATCGGCTCTCCATCATCTCCCATCTCAACTACGAGCCAAGTATTGATGACTATCCAAACTATCACAAACCACAAGTACGGTTTACTGCCGATGATCTTCCTAGACAGGATCCTTATCGTGTTGCCCTCTCCAAATAGAAGAAGCGACCCTTCTCGCAAGTACCACGGTCTCTGTATGGTTGTAAGAGTTCTCTCGAGCTCTTCGTACTCCGCAAGCTGGAAAGATTTCCTGTTGCTAGAGGCCCTGCTTAGATTTCTGCCAATTTTTGGACTGCTGAGAATCTTGTCGAGAGTTATCACGGCATCTTGAAGTGCGGTCCTTGAACCCCTCCTTTCACCGATATTAGAGAAAACCAGAAACCTGTAAAACTTGGGAAGAACGCCTGTGGCGCGACGGCGGTGCTTCAGAAAACTCTGCAGCTGGAACGACCGACGATGGGGCCTCTAAAGCGGATCCAGTAGTACCCCCATCAGACTTAGCAGCAGTTACTGCCGGGCGTTGACGACCCTGGGACCCCTTCTCTCTTGGCCCGGTCTTACGTGATCTTTGACGTTTAACATGCGAGTTGTCATCCGTCGCAAACCTTTCATTTCTTCTACCGCACCCACAACCCAGCTTCTGCTTCTTGTGAGTGCCTGACTTTGCATTCTCCTGATTAACTTCATGTGCTCCATCTGAAAGAAAATAGTTCTTAGATGCAGTTCTCATTTTTTACCTTACTCACCCGTTGGATTCGCTTCTTCTGGTTGTCAGTAAGCTCGTTTCTCTCGAGCAAGACAGCAATGATAAGATTCATAACGACGTAAACTGTCACGACGAAGTAAAAGACGTATAGAAACGGCGCCACTACGCTGCAAACACGAATGCGTCAATACTAGAGATACGTGAGTGGCTGCTTACTTGTATTGAACTCCAGGTCGCAGGGAATTCCACATTTGGTTTACCCAGGATTCAGCCATGGTTACTGTAAACCAGACGAGCATGGCTTCCAGTATGGAATCATGATTTCCTCGCGGATACTCTTCAGGAAAGCTGTAATACTGCCCACTGTACAATTCCATGCTGATGATAGAGATTACTATGATAACCAGAAGGAAAAAGAAAAAAACCCCCGCCAAAGAGCCAACACTTTCCATGCAAGTAGCCTGCATCACGTATTAAAATCAATCAAAGTGAATGCAGCAACTCACCACTACACTGGGATATTTTGCAACATACTTCTTCGAAGAGTAAAACCACCGCTTAATTCTTATGGATGTTAAATTTGGAAACGAATGAGAACTGAGTGCCACAATAGATGTCAAAAAAACTATCAAGTCCAAAGTATTCATTCTTGAAAATTTCAGGATCAGACCAGAAGACAACATGAAAACAAAGAACTCACCATCGTCAAGAAAATCGCCAGGACCGTATGCTAGAAAGCGCAGCAGAAGTTCCCCGCTGAAAGCAAAAAGCATTACTGCTTGCAACCCGTCTGCATACAAAATTTATCATGCTGAACGAATAGAAAGGAAGTCGTGAAATGAATACCGAGCGTATGCAGCAACCGTTTTGACATCCCATACTTGAGGGACGATAAGAGCACGACGTTAATGGTGACACTGAGAAGTACTCCCCACTGAAACTTGGGATGTTCGACGATGTCGCGGCTTTTTTCGGAAACTGTCAACGCTGCTTGAACTCCTAACGTCATACTTCGACTGAAAGACCTACTGGACCGCACTCTCATTGATCTGGCTTGAAGGGCAGTCCGCCGGGAGGTCCGTGTCCGATTTTATGCTCTCGCGACATTCTGCTGCACCTTTCTTGACCTGTCGAGTAAGCGGTTATACCATGGCATGTGCGAGTCGGCTTTGACGATATTGTCTTTCAGCACTTGTGCCATCATCGTTGCATCGTAAAAGGACACCGAGGTTCTACGGGCTTTCCTCAGCAAAGCCTGGATAATAACAGCTTAACTTAACCCAAATCAGTCGGTCATTAAAAACAAGTGTGCACCTGATGCTCTGATCGAACACGAAGAAATACACCACTGATACCGGCGATGAAAACGTTCGCCAGGAAATATGTACCCAGAACAGTTAACGTCATAAAGTAAGTATCTGTGGTGCAATGGCTTGTGTAAGCAATAAAAGAAACAATGTCAACGCCTTACTGGCTCGCTCCCCTTCAGCATCCTTCACATCATGCATGACGAGGCTCCATCCTTCCAAAGTTATCACCTGCAGAGTGACCACTTTGAAGTGTGCTAAGGCGATAAGATGCTATGAAGTGACACAAACCTGAAACATGGTAAGCAGCGAATACCAGAGATAATCAAAAGTTGTCGCTCCATGGTTGGGATTCTCGTATGTCTACAAACAAAGAGATGGATAAGGAATGAGCTTATAGAAAAAACTCACCATACAGTTCTGAAAGGTAGACATACGTAGCCGCCAGCAGCTTTTAGTCACAAAAGCGCATGGGATAAGCAAGTTGCTTGTCCGCTGTTCGAAAGCACCTGCCCAGGAGGATTTTGATTTCACGTGATAAGAACTATCGAGATTACCTTTGATTCAACGAGTTTTGCAAGAACTGCGTGCCGAGTAGAGAATAGAAAACCAACAGAAAAAACGTCGAAAGGATAACGTTTTGGAGAGGACCAACGCCCTTTTTCACGGCCGCCATGATGGTCTATTGTAAAGTGTTAACAATGCATAGATCAGAAATTTACAAACCATACTATGACATCGGCAAAAAATATGATGTGCTTCAACGCTAGCAGGCCCCGAAACATGCGGAACACGGCTATCCACGCGAAAAAATCATGTGCAGTTATGCACCTCCCAAAGAGCTGGTGAAACACTTACGACCATCAAATACAAAACCTCAACATTACCAGGAATCGAAAACAATGACAAAGTCGAGCCTATTGTATGGATTCCGCATGTAGCAGTGACGACCTCTGATAAAACCAAGAGCCAAAATTCGTAACACCATTTCAATCCTACAAACACAAGTGTGAGGGGAAACCTCGAAGAGGGAAACAACAATTACGTATAAAGCGCTGTGATGAGCCCGTCCAGGAAATCGATGTTGAAACTCCACACATGTGTCCATCGTTCATGCCTAGACCCCGCCATCGCTTGAAAGACAAGCACTGCCATACGGAGCATATGAGAAACACAAGAATATACTCGGCTCTCCTGCCACCATAGCAGGAAGGATGGTAAACTTCTATCCACGTACTGATTGTAGAGAAGCCTGAAATGTATAAGCGTGACGGGCTGTAGAAGCTCCAAATTCCAAGCTCCAGTCCCGACAGCACTCTGCCTCGCCTTTCTTCTTATATCTTAAACAGAACATAAGAACTCTCCAAAGTCGAAGGAAGTAAAGTTACCATGAGCCTCTTGATCGCAGTGTAAGCCCTCTTCCAGTTCTTGGTTGCCCGGGAATCGGGAATCGCTCGGGCCAGTTGATCCAGTGCGGCAATCAATGCGGCAGACGAAGACGATGACGCTGCTCGGTCACAATCCGGCGCTGCTTTGCTCAAGCCGTGAATCGGAGGCAGCCATGTCGGATGCGGAGCTATGAAATCGTGATCTTCTTGCGGGACGGGATCAGTGGAAGAAGTATTCGATCAATCACTAGCTAAGCTACATTATGCCTCTTTGTAGGACATCCCTGATGTAGAGGGAGATCTTCATAGCTTGCCACTCAAGCTTTCCCTAGGGCTTCGTGTGTAGATTAGATTACGCCATGTACCAAGATAGAGAAAGAATATCCATTTAATTGTCACTTTTAGTCAAAAAGCTTTTGGCCTCAGAAAGGAGAACAACGCTTTTAAAGAATTTTATCCACACTGGAGCACGGCGACAATGGAGTTAAACCCGCGACCGTTGCTAGTAGCTGTCAGGATTCGAACTCCCGATGGTTTGAACACTGGACTGGATTGATGGGCCTTCACGGCGGTGCGTGTGTGTGCCATGCCAGGAGAAGCGCATTGAGCAAGACCAAGATCGGCGCACTGATGTGGATTTGTTGGAGCGAATGCGAACAGTGAAGCCGGTGCCTGGAATCCGACCATGTTTGCTCTCGGGGTTTTTTATGAGGTGAGGATCGTGCCAGTAGTATTGAACAAGGTACCGCATTCTCGTCCAGGATCTTGCGAATGGTCATCTTTCGTTTCTTTTTGCCGCTTTTTCTAGAGTTCGTGGTGTTTCGTTACATGATGGATTACGGCAACGGGAGGTGGATCGAGAAATGAGGATCAATCGGAAGAACACGCTCGTGAGTAGAGTTGGAACGAAGAAGGCCAAGAACGCGGTAAGTTTTCTATTGTTTCTGTTGTTTCTTCGTTTCTTTTCTTACAACTTTTTCTCCAGCTGCAAAGGATGTCGAGAGCTGATTGATATGGGGACGCGCATTTTGATTCTGGAGGCCATGGAAGGCGAGGACACCACAAGAAGAAAAGCGCCGTACGGAGTTCCCCGCAAGACAGAGGCCCTGCAAAAAAATATGTACGGCGTGTTGTTCCTGATGCCAGGCCATGAACTGCTGGATGAGATGGTGAATGCCCTCTTGGATCCTGAAGCCCCTAGCAAGTGGGTTGGACTCTTTGGAATGGGAGGGTGTGAAAAGACCACCCTCGCAAGCCGCGCGCACAATGGCCGGAGGGTGCGGGAGCATTTCCATGACAACATTGTGTGGATCACTGTGAAGAAAGATGCTTCGGAGGACGATCTCAAGGCCCAGCTCCTCAACGCTCTTGAATGGGGTGAAAGGAAAGAGAGGGCCAGAGGAACCCTTGACGACATGAAGCACTTGGCACGCGATGTTGCTGCTGGTAACCGTGTCTTGCTGGTACTGGATGATGTCTGGGACTGAAGCTGGGCAAAGGAACTGGATTTTATAGCACGGCCATCCTCTGGCCGGATCCTGGTGACAACCAGAAAGGAAGGCATTTTGCGCAGCCTGGATGCAAAGGCATTTCCTGTGCATCAGCTATCAATGGACGAAAGCAAAAAGATGTTTTGGAAGTTTGCCTTCGGTGTGCATGATCCACAACCCAGTGACCCTGATGTTGTGGGATTTGCCGAGGAAATAGCTCAAAAATGTGAGGGACTTCCTCTAGCCCTGGAAGTGATTGGCAGTGCCATGGCTGTCCACAGAAGTGAAGGGCCACATGTGTGGGAAGAACGATATAAGAGGTTGCACTTGTCCAATGACCCAGACGTTGAGAAGCAGATGTTCAAGCGCTTGAAGTTCAGCTATGACGAGCTGGGAAACTATGAGGGTGAAAAGCTGCAAGAGTGCTTTCTTTATGTGGCCGCATTCCCAGAAGACGAGGAGATTGAGTTCACTGACTTGAGGAAATGTTGGATGGAGGTTGGGTCAGAACTCTCACCCACAGCGATTGTCAATGAACTGGAACGGAGATGCCTGGTCAAAGATAAATAAGTCTTGGGATGACGATGATCGTATAATCGTACACGATATGCTACGCAAACTGTGCATAAGAATCTTAAAAGGGAAGTACGGTCCACAGCAAGAGCACGAGAAGGGATGCCTGTTTGGATATGACTGGACAATTGGCATTCGGGATGCAACATTTGCTAAAGTCTCATTCATCTCAAAGAATGTTAGCAGCTTGCTATCCGATAATCATGTGCGTGATGTCTTACTTCTGGATAAATGTGAAGGACTTTCTAATGTGGATGACAGTTTTATCGATCACATACAAGGTGTCAAGGTATTGAGCTTGTGGTGATGCTCTAAGATGTGTTTTATTCCAGAGAGCATATCCAAGCTGAAAAACCTTCAAGTGCTTGACATTCAAGGAAATATCTAAAAGGTACTACCCAGTGGATGCCGACGAAGTGTAACATTGCATTATTGCCCCAGCTCTCCAACTTGGAAGAGCTGGGGCTGAACGTTAGTTCAAAAGAGGACTCGTCAGTTTTGGATTTGACTGGAATTTCACGTAAACTAAGACATTTAAATCTAGAGGTACAATGAAGGTGCCAGAAAGCATGGGGACACTGGAGCATTGAAACATTGGTTTTATGGGTAGACAGCATCGACTTTGCCAGTGTCGTTGGACGATGGCAACTTATCAACCTAACAACATGTGAAATTGATGTGGAGTCCGTCAGCAGAGCTCCCTTGAAGCTAATGTTTAAGAACTCAGGCTTTAACAGTTTTACATCAATGGGGTAGAAGACAGTGAAAATAGTGATGACAGCTTTGAATGGTTGCCCCACCGCCTAGAAACACTTGACATTGACTGCGGTGGTATCCACTTGTTCAACCTGGATGGATCATTCACAGTTCTTAGAGATCTGGGTCTTACTAATCTACACATTGCACAGTCAGAATTCAAGGATGATTTGGCTGCCAGTCTTCCAAATCTAGAGTGTTTGTTCTTTAATCTAGCTCCTGATATTGAATGGGAGCACTTGCCTCTCTTTGTGACACCAATCGCCTCGTAATTCTTTGGGCCTGATGATCATCGGGGGAATGAGTGGGAACCTACCTCATCGGAAAAACCAAAACAAGGTCCTGGAAGTAGGAAGAGGAAAGTGCAATGTGGGGAAACAAACAAGTGAGGATGCATGTGTAACTTCTCCATCAAAATGTTTGTGTTGTGTCTTCAAATGGATGTATTGTTGTATGGAACACGATGATGCTCAAGGAAGGATATGTCACGGGCCAGAACATGTTACAGCTCCTATCTCTGCCACTGTAGCTCCACGACTATCAAAGCAGAAGATCAAGTGGGTTGAAGAGCGTCTTTGGAGAGGCTTCAGTGCCGCACAGGTTTATAAGGAGCATCAACAAATTGTAGTTGCTACAGAAGCCCGGGATGCCTCTAAGTAGGGACGATTGCATGGTCTTTCGAGATGTGAAGAATATCTATGATAGAACTATCGGCGATATTTGGAAGCTGCACGAGGATGATAGTACTAGCGTGGATATGTAGACGGAGCAAAATCGTGAGAATGTGGTTTTTTATCAACGTCAGGTTGGAGAGGCAACTCTTATACTAATGATTCAGACACCAACGCAACACAAAACGTTGGGAACGAAACAGGACAGCTTCATAATTCCCAGTGGCCTCTGAAGGGGAAAACCGTCATGGCTTGCGATTCCCAGTGTCTAAGGTAACATGCATCAGGAGATGGCTTCAAGATTCACAGCAAGGGTTTCATTGTTCTTTTGGTGGCAGATCTTGCAGCGAGCGGACATCCTTTCGGCTCTAGCACTTGATTCCCAGTGTCTAGGGTAACCTGCATCAGGAGATGGCTTTACGATTCACAGCAAGGGTTCAGTCTTTTCATCTTTTGCAGTATTGTGGCTTCAGATCAGTTTCTAGGGCAACATGCAGCAGGAGATGGCTTCAAGATCACAAATTCAACAAGGGCTCCGTCTTTTGTCTCTTTGGACCGGCAACGGCATTTCTTTATCTACATCGCACATGTTGGGGGTGAGGAGCAGGTTTGTGAGGAATGAGAGCTGCGGGCAATCATGCTGATGCAGTATCTAGGGTTGATCTGGTTCTTCGATTTTGCTGGTTGGGGTTTGTGGGCACAAAAGGGATTCAGTTTGCACGGATTTTTCCACAGTTCAGCATCTTTCGACCGTAGTAATCTTCGACACATGATTCCACAGCCCTTAGGGTTTCTTCTCGAGCTTGGCAGTGTTTAGTGGAAATGCATCTCTGCATGGTGTTTTGGCAATCAGTATTCGGTTGGAGCATGGTACGTATGTACAGCACGGCTGAACTAGCATCGTACTTTGCTTTTGGAGAACTCACATCAACAATCAATGATCTCAAGATGAACTGGAGGAGTTCGGGATCACACCAAGGGTTTGTGAGAGTAGCTTATCAGGTACTTCTTGCTTGTTTTCTTTTCCCTAGACTAGAGCTTAGGTGGTTAAAACAAGCCTTGTGAATTGATGTAAGCATACACAAATTATATGCAAAATACATACTGGATAACTGTACTTTTTTTATTATATCAATTTAGGATCTTAGAACATTTTTTGTGGTGACTAAGTGTGGGCTATAAAATCCATGGGAAGGAATCTAAATGGCATAGGCAAGGAACACTAATGTGTTAGATGTTAAACCAATTTTATTTTCTTTTGTAAGTGAGGAAGGCAGAAAACTTTTCATTTGTGGGCCATAGGAAGGATTGTGATGCAAGTCTCATGGGAAGTTTTGTGGAGATAAACCTAGTTGACTTTGTTATTTAAAATCTGAGCTGGTTATTCACTCCAAGATTCAAAGAAAATGAAGTGTAGTAGGCTTGAATTTGATAATAAGAGTTGGGTATAGTGCTTTAGTAGGCTTGACTTTTACTGATTGATGGATGATAACAAAATGTATTAAAATGAATTTGATCAGTTACAAGAATATTCTACCAACTGCATGCCTGCTCCCTCTCTGTTAAATAGGGGCAAACTATTTTGATAAATTACAATAATTCAAAATAGAAGATATTACTCTTCTTATGTTCATGATTTGCTCTTCTCTCATACTATTTCCATCTGCAGCTGTAGAACTTTGCAATTACACCATTGAGTTTTATGATTTGTCAAGCGGCCTTCGTATCAGATGCAATGAACAGAGTGCTTCAGTCAAGCTCTCAAATCTCAATGGCAACTCTGCCCAAGTCACTGGCTTGAAAGGCTCTTTCTGTGGAGGGAATTCTGCAACAGTCATGGCACCTTGTTACTACTGCATTATCACTATAAACGTCTCCCCTCAAAGAATGGTTCCAGGCTTGGTGATGGTTTCTGGCGAAGGAATGTTGGAAAATGAGTACTTCTTCCGTTTTTCAAGTGAAGTGCTCACTAAGTGTCCCGGTTTCAACGTCGCTAGTGATTTTGCCATTGGCTTCAATCGGCAGTTTTTCCTCTTTCCAACAACATGCATGTACAATTCAAGATCAAATCTCCTGATGTGTCCTGGTTGCTCAGCTTCGGGGACAGTAAATAATTCTTTATCATATCCTTCACAAATTCAAACTAACATTTTTCAACTTTTTTTGGCTTATATTTCAACTTAGTGCTCGTATTCCATCAAGCTGGATGCCCAGACATTGTTCCTATGTGTCACAAGTTAGAAGATTGAGGTGTCAATCTACAACAATTACGATAGAAATGTTGGGTGGGGATCTGGGGAGTCTGCAGCTTATGTAGCATCTCACAGTGACTTTCAGCAAGGAATCACCGTCGTTGGGCGATGCGTGGATTTTTGTGCAGTCAGGGTTCAGATATATGATACAAGTTGCTCATATCAAGTGAATCGGGTGAATGTTATGGGTTCAAACAACATCTCTCGTACTTTCCAGGTTGGTGAAACCTTAAGCCCAAACCAAGTCATCTTCCAGAGGAACTATGCTTCAGTATACAGAACTCAGTGCAATCGGCCTAATCCATACCCCATCATGATTGGTGGAACAACTGTACTCGTTCCAAGGGCCTGTGAAACTAACTTTACTGCTACACCAACTAGAATCACATGTCTATGCTAAGGAAACTTAAGCATGGAAATAATAAAAATAATGGGGGGCCAGTCCTACGAAAACAGTCAGACCTGAATTTCAGTATAATGTTGAGTATTTAGGTCATCCTAGTGTGCCATGTGGAGTGGACACATCAGCTAGTTAAGAGTTGTGACCTTTTGTTCATTGCTGAATATACTTATTATAATGCATCAGAGACTTCTTCCAGAATTCCTACATGGTATCAGAGACTGAGTTTTGCTGATATTTAGAGAGCCCTATGGAGAAATAAGATGGTAGCGATCCAGATGAACCACCCGATGTGGTGGAAAGATGAAAGCATAAAGATGAAAGCATTCAGATGATGCTTTCAGCATGAGGAACAACTCAGATTCTGGCCTGGTGAGTGATTTGAGTTAACAGAGGATCTAGGCAATGGAGGATTCCCTTTTCTGGTAGATTGTTTGCATCCCATGTGCTAGAAGCCGAGAACGAGATGGTGCTGAGATTGCAATTGGTGGCAGGAGAGAAATGCCAGGGCCACGGAGTGCTCAGACTGGTCACACGGGGGAATGTCAGCCAAAGGAACAGTGACATCCAATTGGGTAGGAACCCATCAGGTGCCCTAATAGAAAGAGGGAGAGAGCAGCAATGAGAGATGAATTGCCCACAATCTGCAGAGCATAGATACAGTTTCTTGAAAGCTGCATGTCATAAGGATTTTCCCAGGCTCATGTCAGATGAGGATTTAGGCCCTCTTATGACATGAGTGTATCATGTGGAATGGACACATCAACAATCATGGTAATTAAGAGTTGTGACATTTCGTTAATTGCTGTATATACTTATTATAATGCAATGATGATCGAATTGTGACCCTTCATCTAGATTTCCAACAAATAAAACTTTGTGTGATGTTATGTTCTATCATTCAAAATGATAAAGCTTATTAAATTTGAATATTCATCGAATTTCTAGCAACTAAAACCAGAGTTAATGAACCATAATGAGGATAGATTGATTTTTGTTTTTGAAAATGCCGGACAATAAAACTAAAATCATTGACTTATAAATCTTAAACCCTAAACACTTAATTAATCCACTTTTAATTTGTTTAGCTTTTTCAGATTTTGCTTAATTTAAATAAACACATTTAAGCCTTAAAGCAGCTTTACATTAACCTTCTACCGATGAGATAATTAGACCCTGAGTGCAAAACAGCGGAACATTAGTATCATCAAACGGGTAAGTCTTTGCCCGAGGACAACACTCCTTGAACAGCAAACTGAACTGATTTGGATGGCATTTATCCTCCCAAGAACTCATCCTCGCAGCAAAACTCATCAGCGCCAAACGCTAAGCAAGGACTGTTGCAAGCAACTGGAGTTCCCCTCGAATTCCAAACCAGCAGCTCCGAAGGACACCGCGAATTCAAGTCGCAGCTGCAGCCACCACTGAGGCAAACCGGATTGCTGCTTGAAACTTTCACCGCCAAGTTGTAGCCTTCGACCAGAGAGACGCTGTACTCGTCGATGAAATCGCGATGGAGCTCGAACTCGACTGTGGTGGCCGGGGGCGAATAAGTGCTATTGCATCCGATTGCGTTTGAGCAATCTCCTGTTTCGCAGCAGCCTGTGCCTAGAACTGTGTCAAACTGACAATTGGGGCGTCCCCAGAACTTGCCTGACCATCCCGTCGAAGCATAAACGTCAAAGAGTTGCCATGAGTCTAGCTTTGATCCTCCCTTTCCCAGCTGCGGATGACCGGAGTTTGGTAACCACGCAGGCCAAACGGGGAATGGACATGCGTTCTAGAGACGAATCCTTGTTGCTTCGGTTGCTGGTAACGACGATTGAGTGAACACAGAAAACAGAAGCAGGGAGATGCTTACCACTTCCGAAGATCAAAAGCTGAAGAAGCTTGAAGCTTGAAGGCGATTTCATTGCTTCCG